TGTGTGTGTGTGTGTGTGTGTGTGTGTGTGTCTGCACAAGCAGCTCGATTAGAATGAGAGGGAAACACAAATGTTGGTTGATGTGTGTGGTCCTATCAAGGAGAACGGATGAGGATGACACGATTCTCTCTCTCTCTCTCTCTCTCTCTCTCTCTCTCTCTCTCTCTCTCTCTCTCTCTCTCTCTCTCTCTCTCTCTCTCTCGTTCGCTCCCTGGCTCACTGGCTCGCTCTCTGTGCACAGGGAGCTCCATCTGAGAGGGAGGAGGGTAGAATGAGAGGGAAAGCAGTCTCGCTCACGTGATTTGCCAAAGAGCGAAAGATTTTTGTTGATCAAGTACGGAAGAGTCGGGTGGTGGGAGTTCCGAGTTCAAGGCAGTGGTTTTGATCACCGGAGAGGTGCGCGTTCTTTTTTTTTCGGTCCAACTCCACTCCACTCGCCAGATATATATCATGCCTCTATGATAGGTAAGTTTTATCGATGCCCTTCCACTATATGATAGGTAGTTTTCTCGATGCCCTTCAACTATACTCTCTCTCACCCGGAGGGCAAGGCAACAGGTAGAAGGTAGAGCATTCATGAAAAAGAAGTCAATGAAGAAGACGGCTATGGCGACGGAGGGACAGATTATGAAGACGAAGGCGATGGAGAACAATCAAGGCAATGAAGAAGAAGAAGATGATGAAGAAGAAGAAGAAGACTATGAAGAACGTAGGCTATGTGGATGGCCAATCCAGAAAAAGCTGAGAACGATGAAGATGCCATCCAAAGAAGGCGGTGAAGAAGAAGACCATGAAGTACAAAAGGCTATGGTGAATCCAGATACACATGAAGACAATGAACATGCCATCCCTAAAAGACGATGAAGAAAAAAAAGAAGAAGGCTATGGAGAACGAATGCGATGGCCAATTCCAGAAAAAGGTGAAGACGATGAATATGTCATCCTTCCTGGCCTCCATGTCGACTTTCCTATTATGGAAGGCGGCGATGTTCCTACTTGCCAGAACTGCGTAACCACCTCCCCTTCTCTCGGTAGCAAAGAACTGGCGATTAAAAAAAATGGCGGTGGAAGAGAGAGATGGGTCCAATTTGGGAGAGAAGGTGCTTTACCCAAACCGGAGAACTGCATTTCACAAATGGCGGGAAACGTGGGGGTTAGAAATTTGGTAGAAGGCGCTTCGTTCAGGAAGACAGGGCGTTGGATGCATCGACAAGGGGCCGGGAGTCGGGATACCAACAAAGATGTAGAAACCTCCTCTGCCCAGACGGGGTGTTGGGCGGGAAGGGGGAGGGAGAGATGTGGGATCTAATCTATTCATGGCGGGAAACGGCGGGTTGAAAATTGGCGAGAGCTGTTTTGTTCCTACGGCGTGTTTTGGCGGGAAACGAGATGTAACATCCTTTCCCCCGGGGACAGGTCCCACTAGCAGCGTTGAGTTTCCCCTCAACGCCGGAATCTGGACGCGTTTGTGGAGATGTGCTGTTGAGAAAACTCGACGCGATTTCTGCACATATCCACAGACACGTCCAGATTCAGGCGTTGTTGAGGAAACTCAACGCTGCTAGTGCGACCTGGTCCCCGGACACGATGAAGGTGTTTGGCGGGAAGGTGAAAGGGAAAGAATGGGAGAATCGTAAATGGCGGGAAAAAAAGTGGGGTAGAAACCCCGCAGGTGTTGCCCTGTTCAATCGAAAGTGTTTTTGGCGGGAAAGGGGAAGGGAGAAGGGATACGACGGCATGCTGAGTCCTTTGCCCAGACGTGGTGTTTTTTTGGCGGGAAGGGGGCAGGGAAAGGGAAAGATGGAGAATCATAAATGGCGGGAAACGTGGGGTAAGACTTCAGCAGGAGGTTTGTTTTTCAGTCGAAGGCCGGTGCGAGAAGATGAAAAATCCGTCGGATTCCTTCCCCCAGACGAGGACAGTGTTAAGCGGGGAAAGGGGGAGGGAGAAGGGATACTACGAGGAAATGCTGCATCTTTCACCCAGACGTGGTGTTTTCTAGGCGGGAAGGGGGTGGGGAAGGGGAGAGATGGAGACTCATAAATGGCGGGAAACGTGGCGTAGATTTCAGCAGAAGGTTTGTTGTTCAGTTCGAAGTGTTGGCGGGCAAAAGGGAGGGGGAGGCGAGTGCGAGGAGATGAAGAATCCTTCGCCCGCACGTGAGCGATGTTAGACGGGAAGGCGGAGGGGGACAGGGAGAGATGTAGAACCTACACAGCTTTTTTGGCGGGAAACGTGCGGCAAGACTTCGGCGGCGGAAGGTGCTTTGTTAAGCGGGAAGGCGGAGGGGGACAGGGAGAGATGTAGAACCTACAACTTTTTTGGCGGGAAACGTGCGGCAAGACTTCGGCGGCGGAAGGTGCTTTGTTCCGACGGGGTGGGGGAGGCGAGTGCGAGGAGATCAAGAATCCTTCGCCCGCACGCGGGCGATGTTAGGCGGGAAGGCGGAGGAAAAGGGAGAGATGGAGAATCATAACTTTTTTGGCGGGAAACGTGCGGCAAGACTTCGGCGGCGGGAGCGTGCGGGCGATGTTAGGTGGAAAGGCGGAGGGAAAGGGAGAGAGATGTAGAATCATAACTTTTTGGCGGGAATCGTGCGGCAAGACTTTGGCGGCGGGGGGTGTTTTGTTCAAACGGGGTGTTTAGAGAGAGAGAGAGAGAGAGAGAGAGAGAGAGAGAGAGAGAGAGAGAGAGAGAGAGACGTAAAATCGTAAATGGCGGGAAACGTGGAGTGAGAATTTGGCAGCAAAGGGAGGGAGGGAAAAAAAAAAAAAAAACAGAGGGCAAGGGGGAGGGAGGGATGTGGAAACAAATACAGAGTAGAATCAAAGAAAGGCGTATGTGAAAGTGGGTTCAGAATTTGGCCGCAGAAGGTGTTTTGTTCAGCCAGACGGGGTGTAGGGAGGAGGGCGAGGGGGTGGGAGGAGGGATGTGGAATCAAAGAGATAGTGGAATCACAAAAGAGATGGATGTAGAATGAAAGAGAGCGATGTAGAATGAATGAATCCTTACTCGCTGGGCAGTTTTGTGGTCCTCTGCTTCTGTTCTCTTCCGCGGAGCGCTTGCAGCCTGGGCCACGCTTTGTACATACTTTTGGACCTTTGAGCTCTTGTTCTTGTTCTTGAGACCGAATGTCTTGTCTTCCACCAACTTCTGCTTCTTCGCGATATCTGCCTTCTTCTCCTTGCCTGCTCCTTTGGCTGGCGCGCCTTTCGGTGGCATCTTCTTCTTCCCCTACTCCTCTTCTCCTTGTTGGACCCCCCCCTCCCTGTCCCTTAGGGCGTTGTCCACCTCCTACTGCAGGTGGCAGCTGCGATCGGGATCGCGATCGCGATTGGGACCACTCCTGCTGCGCGCCAAGCTGGACGACGACAGCCGATCTTTCCCCGCGCAGCTTCGATGGGTTGGGCACAAGGAGGATGGCAGACCCTCAACGCGCCGGGGGGGAAGGAGGAATAGTAGATTATTGAATTGATTGATCGACTGATTGATGATGTGAGGCACAACGTGGCGGGAACTGGTGATTGATTAGTCGACTGAACGGGGGGATAAGAAATGGCGCGCAATGTCGGCTGATTGATGGGAGTGCGAGGGATGGATACGCGCGAAAAACAGCACAGCACCAACAGTACCAATCAGTACCAGACTAAGGCGGGAAAATGACCAATCGACCAGCGAGCTCAGCGAACGGAGACGGGGGCTGAGTCCTTCATTCGTCTGGGCAGCACCTCCGTGGACGTCCGCCCGATGCCTTACCCCCACTTTATTACAGCGTTAGGAGATGGGCGACCGATGATACCTTACCCACCTTACGACGTTAGGAGGTCGGCGACCGATGGAGTGGGTTGAGGTTAGGCGGTCCGATACCGCTGGCGTATTATATTAACACCGGTAGGTACCAACCTTCTGCTCTTTCCCGCGAAACTCCAGGTTTTTTTTTTTTTCTTTTTTTTTTTTTTTTGAAACTCCAGTTTAGTTTGCAGGTTTTTTTTTTGTTTTGTTTTTTTTGTTAGTTTGGTTTGCAGGTTCGGAAGTCGGCGACCCAGAAGTGAAGGTTAGGACGTCGGTAAGTGATTGACAAGTGAACAAGGTTAGGAGGTCGGCGACTGGTAAGGTAAGGTATTGACATTGGTAGAGCGACCTTCACCTTCTTGTCTTGACCGCGAGCGCACAGGCGAACAAATACCCCTCTTCGTAGCCCTATCTCCCGGGGCCAAGTCCCATTAGCAGCGTTGAGCTACCTCAACGCCTGAATCTGGACGTGTTTGTGGAGACGTGCAGTTCAGGAAATTCAACACCATTTCTGCACATCTCCGCAAAAGCGTCCAGATTCAGGCGTTGAGGTAGCTCAATGCTGCTAGTGGGACTTGGCCCCCGGGACCTTGTCCCACTAACTCCGTTGAGCTAGGTCAACGTTGGGTTTTCGACGCTGTGTGACTGTACGCGACAACGGAGATGCACGTCGTCCAAGTCATCTAGCCGTCCGTTTTTAATAAAAAAGGCAACAGAGACTAAATAAGTAAGTAAATAAATAAATAAGTAAATAAATAATACCCCCGCTACCCCCACATGCCTCGAATTCGGTCCCACGTGAGGCTTGCAGGGGCACCAGCGACAATGGACGGCTTTGACAATCACTGGCGGAAGGCAGGCATTCTTGGGTCTGCAGACTTTGTGGCATGGCCTGCCAGTACCTTTTGACTGTTCTGTCTATTTCGGACAGCTTTGACCGGTACATGAACAGCCCTTTCACACCTGGAAATGACAGGACTAGCGAAGTCGACACGGTGAGCACCTGGATGTGCAACTGCCCAGGTGCATTCTGATTGGCTAAGGGTGCGGGGAATGCAGCCCTAGGGTCCCACCGTTTCTTTTCCTCTGTTTTTTACAACACACACAGAGAGAGAGAGAGAGAGAGAGAGAGAGAGAGAGAGAGAGAGGCTCATGCAGGTAAGTGAGACAGGTTTGAACCCACGACTTCTTGAAGGGCAATTGTTATTGGGTTTCTGAAAGAACTCTATGTTTTCTGTTTAGGCAGACAAGGTAACCGTTGAAGAAAACAGGAAGGATAATAAAATGGAGTTTGTGTATGGAGGGGCACTATTGTGTGCTCCTTCCACCTTTGCGCAATAGCGCCCCGCTCCAGAAGCGAACTCCTTTTTATTCTCTTTCCTGATTTCTTCAACAGTCGTGTGCTCTTTGCTCCTCTCCACCAGCCTGCCTGCTTGGCACTTCCTGCACTATGGGAGTCAGCCTTCATGTGCCAGGGGCGCCAACAAATAGAAGAAGCAGGTTGGCCCCTTGCAAACTGGCCGCTAGTTAGCATGAACGTGTTTCTTTTCGTACTCAGGTTCTTAGTGATTGGTGGGAAGAATTGCTTTTTGTCTTGGATAAATGGTACTTGTTCTTTTCTTATTCAGGTTCTTGGTGATTGATGGGAAGAAATGTTTTTTTGTCTTGGTCCGTCCTTAGACACTCCTCGGGAACGTGAAATCCACAAGGACGCGCTCGTTCCACCTTTCCTTGGGGACAAAATTAAAAAAGAAATGTGAAAATGCCGCAAGGAAAATTCCTTGTGGCGTTGTGACGCCCCAACCTCACGCCCAGCGTGACTTCCTGATCGGAGTGGGGTGTGGGCCTGGAAGTGCGAAAAGGGGTGTGCCAAGGATTTTTGGGAAAGTAGGGGTGGAGTCCCAGGTCAGAACTGAGATCTCCTGTGGCAGAGTTTTTCGGGGGCACGGGTGAAATTTGGCAGAGAGGGCGGACCACCTCCGGTCATAAGGCAGATGGCATGCGCGGGTCATTCATGGCCGTTCGATCCGTCTGTTTTGATGACGGCGGTTCGTCGAGAGGTCCATCCGGGGTGGGTGTGGTTCTGATGAGTCAGGCCG